TGTTGTGGTCACAGCTGTTCTCTGTGTGTGGGACATTAACGCGTCCGTGTCCCGTGTGCAGGCGCTGGAGCTGGCGGCGGCGGCCACTGAGCACGCTCAGTTCAGGGACTGGTGGTGGAAGGTCCAGCTGGGGAAGTGCTATTACAGGTCAGCGGAGCTCCTCGTGGGCTTTCAGCAGCTCACACTGCGTCACACCGCACGGCTGATGCACAGATCACTCTTTACACTGGACTGGAATACAAGATCTGTAAACTTACATTAATTCCCACCCAAAATTATTTTCATTTTACTATGCACGTTATTCCCTGTGCATGGCCGTGCTATAAAATTATGTATAAAATTCATGTCAGGTGGTCATGATTATTTGCCAGCATGGACAAAATAACAGCTGTCATGACGGAACAGATATATAGTCCAGAAATAATTTGTTTATCTACTAGGGATGCACGATATAGGATTTTGGCCGATATTCGATATGCCGATATTTTCAAACTAATTTTGCCCGATGCCGATACCGATATCGATATATTTGTATTTTTTTTAAGTGCAAAAAAAGCTTATTAAAGCTTCTATTAATGTTCTCAGTCAAGAGCAGTGAGTGATTTCCTTTGTGTTTTGTTGTTTTATTAACATTAACGGGATAGTTCTCCCAAAAATTTTAATTGTCATCATTTACTCTCTCAAGTTTCTTTCTTCTGTTGAAATTATAAAAGTTATTTGGAAGAATGTGGCTAACCAAACAGTTGCTGTACTCCAGTGACTTCCATAGTATATTTAAGCACAAGAAAGAAATGAATCCAGGTTTGAAACAACATTAGATAGACAGAATTTTTATTTCTGGGTGCAGTATCTCTTTAAAGACAAGCGGCAGAATATTATTACTGTCTCTTTAAGAACTGCACGCGAGTAACGCGACGCGTCTAATATACACGCATTTGACAAGCAGATTTTCTCTGTTTGCTTTCACTTTAGACATAACCAACTTTGTTTATGTAAACCTTGTGTGTATTTGACAGTATCAGCGCAATAAGACTCGAAAGATTAGTCCAGTATGCCGGCGCTGTGACAGGCTTTTAGTTCCTGTGAGCGTCGGGTGTAACGCGCTCAGAAAAGCGGATGTTAGAACAGCGCATCAGCACCTGGATGACATGTTTACCTAGCAAGACTTTGACGCACATGCAAACAATGAACTTTTGTGAATTGCAGTGTCCCGTGAGTGTAACTCTACCTCTGCGTTTACATGTGATGTGAATGTACGTCGTGTTGTACAGTATGTTGAGATGAAGGCGCCAGAATTGAACTGATAGAATGCACAATACTATGATTTTTCTTCAAAAGCAGATCGTGGAGACATTTTAATCGTCCACGATCAAAAACCGTGAGACGCACGGCACACCCCTAGTTGGAAGTTTAAGTTGCTGGCGCTCATGCTTCGTTCACGGTCGTCACGTGCGCATAGGAAACACGCCACCCTATCGGCAAGACTCATCGGCAGAAATATTCATATCGGCCGATGCCGATGATGGTCATTTTAAGCTTTTATCGGCCGATACCGATGTTGTCCCGATATCATCGTGCATCCCTATTATCTACAGCTCAGATCTAGAATTCTGAAGTGAAATAAAGTAGCCCTGTAATATTTGTTTTTAATGAATTCAATTGAATTAACCAGAACGAGAGAGAGAGTGAGTGAGAGTGAGAGAGAGAGAGAGTGAGAGAGTGAGTGTGAGAGAGAGAGAGTGAGTGAGAGTGTGAGTGAGAGAGAGAGAGAGTGAGAGAGAGAGTGAGAGCGAGTGAGAGAGCGAGAGAGAGAGAGAGAGAGAGAGAGAGAGAGAGAGAGAGAGAGAGAGAGAGAGAGAGAGAGCGAGTGAGAGAGTGTGAGAGTGAGTGAGAGAGTGAGAGAGAGAGCGAGAGAGTGAGAGAGAGAGCGAGCGAGAGAGCGAGCGAGAGAGAGAGTGAGAGCGAGTGAGAGTGATTTTTTATGTCAATGAAGTGTGAGTATGTGTGTGTTCGTAGACTGGGTTTGCACCGGGAAGCAGAGAAGCAGTTCCGGTCCGCGCTCGCTCAGCAGGAGTTCGTGGACTCCTACCTCTACCTGGCCAAGGTGTGTGAGGGTCAGTGCTACAGCTCAGGTGCCTGTGTCCCAGGAAGCCCAGTAAGAGTGTGTGTGTGTGTGTGTGTGCAGGTGTACCAGCGCCTGGATCAGCCCATCACGGCTCTGAATGTGTTTAAGCAGGGCTTGGATCACTTCCCCGCCGAGGTCACACTGCTCACGGGGATCGCACGCATACATGAGGTATTCCTCTTTATCTTCACATCGCTGAACAAACTGTGGCTTGATCTGGCTAACTGTCCTCCAGGAAATGAATAACGTGATCTCGGCCACTGAATACTATAAAGAGGTCCTGAAGCAGGACAACACACACGTGGAGGCCATCGCCTGTATCGGCAGCAATCATTTCTACTCAGACCAGCCAGAGATCGCCCTACGCTTCTACAGGTGACAGCGCTTTCTTTTACACTTCATCTTCCTCACATATGCCTGTAACCAGCAGAAACTCTCATGAGATCAGATGCTTTACATCTGATGTGAGTGATGTTCAGATCTGCCTCTAGTCAGGTAAACAGTAAAGTGTTCAGTGATGGTAAACAGTAAAGTGTTCAGTGGAGGTAAACAGTAAAGTGTTCAGTGGAGGTAAACAGTAAAGTGTTCAGTGATGGTAAACAGTAAAGTGTTCAGTGGAGGTAAACAGTAAAGTGTTCAGTGGAGGTAAACAGTAAAGTGTTCAGTGGAGGTAAACAGTAAAGTGTTCAGTGATGGTAAACAGTAAAGTGTTCAGTGATGGTAAACAGTAAAGTGTTCAGTGGAGGTAAACAGTAAAGTGTTCAGTGGAGGTAAACAGTAAAGTGTTCAGTGATGGTAAACAGTAAAGTGTTCAGTGGAGGTAAACAGTAAAGTGTTCAGTGGAGGTAAACAGTAAAGTGTTCAGTGGAGGTAAACAGTAAAGTGTTCAGTGATGGTAAACAGTAAAGTGTTCAGTGATGGTAAACAGTAAAGTGTTCAGTGGAGGTAAACAGTAAAGTGTTCAGTGGAGGTAAACAGTAAAGTGTTCAGTGATGGTAAACAGTAAAGTGTTCAGTGATGGTAAACAGTAAAGTGTTCAGTGGAGGTAAACAGTAAAGTGTTCAGTGGAGGTAAACAGTAAAGTGTTCAGTGATGGTAAACAGTAAAGTGTTCAGTGATGGTAAACAGTAAAGTGTTCAGTGGAGGTAAACAGTAAAGTGTTCAGTGATGGTAAACAGTAAAGTGTTCAGTGGAGGTAAACAGTAAAGTGTTCAGTGGAGGTAAACAGTAAAGTGTTCAGTGATGGTAAACAGTAAAGTGTTCAGTGATGGTAAACAGTAAAGTGTTCAGTGATGGTAAACAGTAAAGTGTTCAGTGGAGGTAAACAGTAAAGTGTTCAGTGATGGTAAACAGTAAAGTGTTCAGTGATGGTAAACAGTAAAGTGTTCAGTGATGGTAAACAGTAAAGTGTTCAGTGGAGGTAAACAGTAAAGTGTTCAGTGGAGGTAAACAGTAAAGTGTTCAGTGGAGGTAAACAGTAAAGTGTTCAGTGATGGTAAACAGTAAAGTGTTCAGTGGAGGTAAACAGTAAAGTGTTCAGTGATGGTAAACAGTAAAGTGTTCAGTGATGGTAAACAGTAAAGTGTTCAGTGGAGGTAAACAGTAAAGTGTTCAGTGGAGGTAAACAGTAAAGTGTTCAGTGGAGGTAAACAGTAAAGTGTCCAGTGGAGGTAAACAGTAAAGTGTTCAGTGGAGGTAAACAGTAAAGTGTTCAGTGATGGTAAACAGTAAAGTGTTCAGTGATGGTAAACAGTAAAGTGTTCAGTGATGGTAAACAGTAAAGTGTTCAGTGGAGGTAAACAGTAAAGTGTTCAGTGATGGTAAACAGTAAAGTGTTCAGTGGAGGTAAACAGTAAAGTGTTCAGTGGAGGTAAACAGTAAAGTGTTCAGTGATGGTAAACAGTAAAGTGTTCAGTGATGGTAAACAGTAAAGTGTTCAGTGATGGTAAACAGTAAAGTGTTCAGTGGAGGTAAACAGTAAAGTGTTCAGTGATGGTAAACAGTAAAGTGTTCAGTGATGGTAAACAGTAAAGTGTTCAGTGATGGTAAACAGTAAAGTGTTCAGTGATGGTAGACAGTAAAGTGTTCAGTGATGGTAAACAGTAAAGTGTTCAGTGGAGGTAAACAGTAAAGTGTTCAGTGGAGGTAAACAGTAAAGTGTTCAGTGGAGGTAAACAGTAAAGTGTTCAGTGGAGGTAAACAGTAAAGTGTTCAGTGGAGGTAAACAGTAAAGTGTTCAGTGATGGTAAACAGTAAAGTTTTCAGTGGATGGTAAACAGTAAAGTGTTCAGTGGAGGTAAACAGTAAAGTGTTCAGTGGAGGTAAACAGTAAAGTGTTCAGTGGAGGTAAACAGTAAAGTGTTCAGTGATGGTAAACAGTAAAGTGTTCAGTGGAGGTAAACAGTAAAGTGTTCAGTGGAGGTAAACAGTAAAGTGTTCAGTGGAGGTAAACAGTAAAGTGTTCAGTGGAGGTAAACAGTAAAGTGTTCAGTGATGGTAAACAGTAAAGTGTTCAGTGGAGGTAAACAGTAAAGTGTTCAGTGGAGGTAAACAGTAAAGTGTTCAGTGGAGGTAAACAGTAAAGTGTTCAGTGATGGTAAACAGTAAAGTGTTCAGTGATGGTAAACAGTAAAGTGTTCAGTGATGGTAAACAGTAAAGTGTTCAGTGATGGTAAACAGTAAAGTGTTCAGTGGAGGTAAACAGTAAAGTGTTCAGTGATGGTAAACAGTAAAGTGTTCAGTGGAGGTAAACAGTAAAGTGTTCAGTGGAGGTAAACAGTAAAGTGTTCAGTGATGGTAAACAGTAAAGTGTTCAGTGATGGTAAACAGTAAAGTGTTCAGTGATGGTAAACAGTAAAGTGTTCAGTGGAGGTAAACAGTAAAGTGTTCAGTGATGGTAAACAGTAAAGTGTTCAGTGGAGGTAAACAGTAAAGTGTTCAGTGGAGGTAAACAGTAAAGTGTTCAGTGATGGTAAACAGTAAAGTGTTCAGTGATGGTAAACAGTAAAGTGTTCAGTGATGGTAAACAGTAAAGTGTTCAGTGGAGGTAAACAGTAAAGTGTTCAGTGATGGTAAACAGTAAAGTGTTCAGTGATGGTAAACAGTAAAGTGTTCAGTGATGGTAAACAGTAAAGTGTTCAGTGATGGTAGACAGTAAAGTGTTCAGTGATGGTAAACAGTAAAGTGTTCAGTGGAGGTAAACAGTAAAGTGTTCAGTGGAGGTAAACAGTAAAGTGTTCAGTGGAGGTACACAGTAAAGTGTTCAGTGGAGGTAAACAGTAAAGTGTTCAGTGGAGGTAAACAGTAAAGTGTTCAGTGGAGGTAAACAGTAAAGTGTTCAGTGATGGTAAACAGTAAAGTTTTCAGTGGAGGTAAACAGTAAAGTGTTCAGTGGAGGTAAACAGCAAAATGTTCAGTGGAGGTAAACAGTAAAGTGTTCAGTGATGGTAAACAGTAAAGTTTTCAGTGGAGGTAAACAGTAAAGTGTTCAGTGATGGTAAACAGTAAAGTGTTCAGTGGAGGTCAACAGTAAAGTGTTCAGTGGAGGTAAACAGTAAAGTGTTCAGTGATGGTAAACAGTAAAGTGTTCAGTGGAGGTAAACAGTAACGCGTTCAGTGATGGTAAACAGTAAAGTGTTCAGTGGAGGTAAACAGTAAAGTGTTCAGTGATGGTAAACAGTAAAGTGTTCAGTGATGGTAAACAGTAACGCGTTCAGTGATGGTAAACAGTAAAGTGTTCAGTGGAGGTAAACAGTAAAGTGTTCAGTGGAGGTAAACAGTAAAGTGTTCAGTGATGGTAAACAGTAAAGTGTTCAGTGGAGGTAAACAGTAACGCGTTCAGTGATGGTAAACAGTAAAGTGTTCAGTGGAGGTAAACAGTAAAGTGTTCAGTGATGGTAAACAGTAAAGTGTTCAGTGATGGTAAACAGTAACGCGTTCAGTGATGGTAAACAGTAAAGTGTTCAGTGGAGGTAAACAGTAAAGTGTTCAGTGGAGGTAAACAGTAAAGTGTTCAGTGGAGGTAAACAGTAAAGTGTTCAGTGATGGTAAACAGTAAAGTGTTCAGTGGAGGTAAACAGTAAAGTGTTCAGTGATGGTAAACAGTAAAGTGTTCAGTGGAGGTAAACAGTAAAGTGTTCAGTGGAGGTAAACAGTAAAGTGTTCAGTGGAGGTAAACAGTAAAGTGTTCGGTGGAGGTAAACAGTAAAGTGTTCGGTGGAGGTAAACAGTAAAGTGTTCAGTGATGGTAAACAGTAAAGTGTTCAGTGATGGTAAACAGTAAAGTGTTCAGTGGAGGTCAACAGTAAAGTGTTCAGTGGAGGTAAACAGTAAAGTGTTCAGTGATGGTAAACAGTAAAGTGTTCAGTGGAGGTAAACAGTAAAGTGTTCAGTGGAGGTAAACAGTAAAGTGTTCAGTGGAGGTAAACAGTAAAGTGTTCAGTGGAGGTAAACAGTAAAGTGTTCAGTGATGGTAAACAGTAAAGTGTTCAGTGATGGTAAACAGTAAAGTGTTCAGTGGAGGTAAACAGTAAAGTGGAGGTAAACAGTAAAGTGTTCAGTGGAGGTAAACAGTAAAGTGTTCAGTGATGGTAAACAGTAAAGTGTTCAGTGATGGTAAACAGTAAAGTGTTCAGTGATGGTAAACAGTTCAGTGATGGTAAACAGTAAAGTGTTCAGTGATGGTAAACAGTAAAGTGTTCAGTGATGGTAAACAGTAAAGTGTTCAGTGGAGGTAAACAGTAAAGTGTTCAGTGATGGTAAACAGTAAAGTGTTCAGTGATGGTAAACAGTAAAGTGTTCAGTGATGGTAAACAGTAAAGTGTTCAGTGATGGTAAACAGTAAAGTGTTCAGTGGAGGTAAACAGTAAAGTGTTCAGTGATGGTAAACAGTAAAGTGGTCAGTGATGGTAAACAGTAAAGTGTTCAGTGGAGGTAAACAGTAAAGTGTTCAGTGATGGTAAACAGTAAAGTGTTCAGTGATGGTAAACAGTAAAGTGTTCAGTGATGGTAAACAGTAAAGTGTTCAGTGGAGGTAAACAGTAAAGTGATCAGTGGAGGTAAACAGTAAAGTGTTCAGTGGAGGTAAACAGTAAAGTGTTCAGTGATGGTAAACAGTAAAGTGTTCAGTGGAGGTAAACAGTAAAGTGTTCAGTGGAGGTAAACAGTAAAGTGTTCAGTGGAGGTAAACAGTAAAGTATTCAGTGGAGGTAAACAGTAAAGTGTTCAGTGGAGGTAAACAGTAAAGTGTTCAGTGGAGGTAAACAGTAAAGTGTTCAGTGGAGGTAAACAGTAAAGTGTTCAGTGGAGGTAAACAGTAAAGTGTTCTGTGATGGTAAACAGTAAAGTGTTCAGTGATGGTAAACAGTAAAGTGTTC